AAATTACTGGTACTTATTTAGGAATTGCGGAAAAATTACTGGTACTTACTTTCGGATGCACATCAAAGAATCTTTTTACTTGAGCTGAGAGTACTTTGTTGTCTTCCTTGGATGGATCCATTAAAATGGGAGATGAAATGTCCAGTTTCATTTTTGGTCAACTCATGTATTAAACTTAAGGCCAGCTGCTGGATTTATGAATGCATAAGTATATGTGGCTTCAGTCTAATTCTGTTCTGAATCCTGCGAAAGAAACACTTGCATCAGATGTGTCAAGAGTACTCTATTATACTGTCATTAAAATGTACATACATTCCTGTGTAGTCAGGTACCACTGAACGTGGAAGGAAATAAAGTATTAAATAAGACACTCCATTAAACCTGGCTTGCATTTTTTCACAGACATATAAATTGTGATAGGAATAACTCAGAGGAGGGTAGGTTAATTAAAAAAAAAGAATTTGGTTTAAACCGGTTGAGAAACTCTCATCTAAAACTAGGTTTCTTCAGTATCTCTTATGCTCTTGGCATATTGGGTAAGCATGGCAGTTTAAACTCAGCCAGAAACTAAGTACTGCGCAGCTGCTTGCTTACTCCCCTCCACTTCCCGCTGGAGAAATTTTTTCAGTTTTTACAAAAATGTAAAAACCCATGCATTAAGAACAGTATAGTAACTGAAATATGACCATCATCATCATCATCATCATCACAGGAAATAGAGTGAGAGAGGAAGGAATAAACCCCACCCCTTAGGAAAAAAAACAAGTGATGCACAATGCAATTTCTCACCACCCGCTGACTCGTACCCAGCCTGACCTGAGCAGCATCGGTGCCTTCCAGGTAACTTCCCCCAGTTTATATACTGGGCATGATGTGCTGTGGTATGGAATATCCCTTTGGCTAGTTTAGGTCAGTTGTCCTGTCTCTGCTTCCTCCTGACTTCTTGTGCCCCTCCTCACAGAGCACAAGAGACTGAAAAGTCCTTGTTCAATAAGCAACAACTAAAACACTGGTGTGTTATTAGCATTGTTCTCAGACTAAAGCTGAAGCACAGAGCTGCACCAGCCACTAGGAAGAAAAATAACTATCCCAGCTGAAACCAGGGCAGTAAGATAGTTGTCAGGATAGAGGTCAGTGTGGCAAACCCATGCTTAACATTTTCAGAGTCAAAAGCCAGTTGAACAACCTCTCAGCATTTTGGCTCTTATTTGAAGCTGCTCTTTTCAGGTGTCTGTACTTTGTACCTCTCTGTCTGGAGATTTTGCTTTTAAATTGGTACTGTTTTCACAGAATCATAGCAGGTTATGTCGCAGTGGTGCTGTAAAGCAGGGCCAACTATTCTTAAATATTTCTGGCAGAAATTAGCCTAACCTGTTTTTAGAATATCAGTCTCTTAAAGGACATCTGCAGTAATAAAGGACAATTTTTAACCTGAAGTGATGTGTTATGGTGCATAGTCTTACATTACAGTATTTTGCTTTAGAACAGAATGTTTCTGTTTAATGGCCATCTAGGACAAATGCCAGCTGGTCATCTAGTCCAACTGCCTGCTGCTCACGATGGGTTAAGCTCTGCCCCAGCCACCTCTCTTTTCCCACTGGCATTTTTTTACTGGGGTAAGGCCTGTGTTGAAACACTGGTGTGTTCCTTTGAGGGTACCTGTTCCTTTGAGGTTACCTGTCTACTAATTTAGTGCATGCATGTGAATAGAGATACATCATTGCTTTCAGTGAAGCAGATTAAGTCTTCTTTGATATGACAGTCTATCTACAAATTCAAGAATTTATGTAGTCCTTCATTTTCTTAAACTGTGTACCTCTGCATATTGTTGGATTGACACTATAGTCCATCCTTTGATTTTAGCAAAGCTCCTTGTTAAACTTCTGGAAGTTTATATAGCTATTGTGTTCATACATTAGTTCAAAAATTGTACAGATGTGGATCCTTACAGAACACTCATGTTAGAAAAGTAAGCTAGTTGTTGAAACCTGGTTTAAAGGTGGAAACCGTGTTTAAAGGTTTGAAAGTTGTTGAAACCATGTTTAAAGGTGAATGGTAGTGCCTTTCTGAGAGCATAGGTTCATGGAAGCAGAGTTCCAATTATAAATTGGGACTTCTGAATTCCTACCATGTGCTCAAGTGACTAACCTTACTATCATGTTATGGATTTACACTATTTTCCAATACCTATCTGCTGCTTAAAATCGACCCTGAAACATCCCTGGGGTATCGACTGCAGTTGTGCCTTCTGCATTATCTTTGTGAGAAGATTGTCTCTGTGATATGTCAATTGCTTAACTAGCTGCTTTAGTAGTTTTTCCTGTGTATTAATTTATATCATATAACATCTTTTAGGATCAACATTTCTACATACGATTAGGGTAGACATTACGAAGAGCAGAAAATGAAAGTCTTTAATATAGTTTTTAGGAAAAAAATTATCTTTTATTTTAGAGACAAGCAAGCCAAGCCCAGTAATCCATTGAGTTGTTTAAGTGAAACAATATTTATAAGAACATTTTATGTTCCCTACCGTGAGCTTCCCATCTTGTTCTTAAATCAGTACAACATATTTTTCTTTGAAGACAGAATCAAACGGGCCATGAGTTTACTGTAAAGCGTTATTAACACTTTGCCAGAAATATGATTTGTATAAGAAAAGTTATACTAGCAGAAAGGAAAACAAAACTTACAAAAACTGTTTTAACTCTACCAGCTCTTGACTTATCATTTGCAGTATATCAAAAGTCAGGCACCTCTCTCCACTGAAAGGCTCACCCAGCCTATGCTTGTCTATGCCAGTTATGGTGATGACGATAGTTGTTTCAAAAAACTGCAGCATGCTGTTTCTCTCATATGACTTCTGCTCTCTTCCTACCATGTGAGCCTCATATCCAGGGAGTATTTTGCTGAGTAATCTGAAGTGTGCAAAATCAACCCTCAGGCTTGCAGATTTTGTGTGTATTCTGTGTATCGATTCACAATATATTGTATATTGATTCGCAATATACAGAGTAGTTATGGGCTCTAACGTAAGTTGATTGAATTCCCGGCGATGTGTGGAAGTTATGTTATACTGGTTTAGAGCCACTTCTGGGAATACTCAAATTTATTCAGCTCAGTAAGGAAATATTCTGACTCAGATATAAGATATTTACCTATAGAGGAAGAGAGGTTCTGCTTCACACAGCCTCTCTAGTTTACATTTCTTCTGTATAGGTTTCTGATGTTTCCTGCTGAAACTCACTCTCCTATTATAATAATCCTTTAATAAGATTTAGATAATTAAATAATTGATCTCTTTACAAAAAAAAAGTGAATTCTTTCTAATACTGTCACTGCTACCTGTTGTCACTTCAAGTTGTTAGAACTTACATGAAATACATGTGGAGGTAAGAGAAAGTATCCTTTAAAATTTGATGTCACTCCATCCTGTCTGATAAGTGTTGGGAACCATAATGACATTTTGATGGTGAAACTGAGCAAATGTGCCAACAGGGTGTTGCAAAATTGAGGTACACGCAAAGGGGATCAACCACAGAGGCTTCTCCTTTGATCTTGGATCCTTTCCAATCCATTTAGAATCTTAGCCTCCAATCCACATATTAATAGAAATATTAACTGTAAAGCAACTGTAATTAGCTAGCAAGTAAGGTGGAAGCTCTATCCTCAGTGCAGTGCTTCAGACATATATCGCTTCTGGGAAAACGTGACTGTAGTAAACAGCTGAGTTCTTAAATTATTCAGTATCATAAACCAGTTTCTATTGAGAAAGAGTTGTACCCAACTTCAAACTCAAGCTATAATCATGTTGTATGTTAAATAGTTTAGGATCAGTTTTTGCTGCCACTCTGGTCAGATACTGTAAATCCTTCTGCTTTAGTTTCTGAGAAAAACAGCATGGACACTTTGGGAATAAATTCAGAGAATGGAGCTAAAGTGGCTATTTTAACTGCAATCTGATTTAGGTCTGACATGAAATAAATCAATTCATTTTCAAAGAAATTACACATCAGCGACAGCTGCACCATGGTAAGAATACAGCATAGATTTGCTTTAAAATGAATCCAACATCTTTAAAGCCTTCATGTGGTACTATTATACCAGTGGATGCTGAGGAACCTGGCCTCATCCTGCCATTGTTAGCTCTGGAACAGAGTTGGGAAGTGTGATGCTGAGACACCTCAGTTAGTTGGAGGTGAGCCAGCTTTGATTAGGATGCCTTGACAGCTTGGCAACTGTGGTCGGGCTAATAAGTCTGGCTGGAAGTCGATGTTTATTAGCTCTGATGTACTGTCAAGGTCTTGTGGGCTATATAGTGTCTTATTCCTAAATTGGAAGGTCCACAATTGTGCTCAGCATGTGAGTGATTTTGACCTGACATATCTGTTATGCTTTGGCTGAAGAATGATTTATGCTAAAATTTGTGAAGTTTCCAGGCTTTAAGAATATTTTCAGAAATGTTGATTTTATGAATGCACATAAATAATATGGGCCTGCTTATGTTGGCAAGCCAAAGAGCATTGTGGTTTGCAAAGCATCTTCAGTTTCTGTCAATACTAGACCAAGTAGTGATTGCTGATTATTTATTAACAGTTCAGTTTCTTAGCACTGCTAATACTATTAGTACCATGATTTAAGGACAAAATCTCTCCCAGGGTCTCTCACCAAATAACACCTTGTGTAATTAATATACTAACTAGACAAAATTTCATGTTCTTACTGGGTAAATGGTTTTCTGCATCCTTCTGAAATTTTTGTGTATGCAACTGTACTGTCCTGTTCTAGAGGTAGTGGGTGAAGGAAACCTCTGAGGTAGCTTGCATGTGGATGGACAAAACACATATAGAACCTTCCAGATGAGAAGGATCACATCTATGTGAATAGCATGGTTTATGCAAGAGTCTTGAAAATGGTGTTTAGGAAAGCTGCTTATGAAGATCAAGGTTATACCATTAGGGATTTGATTTTGAATAAGATTTTTTTACTTTGTGTTTCAGTGGCTGTTCCCTCACCAGTGCCAGCTTGTGAACCTGAGCCCAAAACTAACGGGCATAACCCAGCTCCACGACTCTCCATTTCATCCCGAGCCGCTGTTGTTGCTACCATGGAAGCCCCTTCTCAAGGCCTGCAGACAGTCATGAAGTGGAAAACAGTGGTGGCTGTCTTTGTCGTTGTCGTAGTTTACCTGGTGACAGGAGGACTTGTCTTCCGTGCCCTGGAGCAGCCCTTTGAAAGCAGGCAGAAGAACACGATCGCGCTAGAGAAGGCTGACTTTCTTCGGGAGCATGTTTGTGTAACTCAGCTAGAGCTGGAGACATTGATTCAGGTAGGCCATGTGAAGAAGATAGTACGTCTTGCAAGCTGGGATAAACAGCTTGGTATTTTTTTGATCAGCTGAATTGGTGGAGAATAAAATTGCTCATAGAATCCTCACAATGGACGGTGTGAAAAACAGGCCCTTTCCCAGTCATTTTAAAGTCTGAGAAATAGAAACTATGGCTCCAAACCATTGTAAATAAAGGTTAAATGTATTTACTAGAATAATGAAAAATGTGTGCAAGGAAAATCAGAACTTAATATCTGGACGAAGTTCTTGTGAGAGGTGACAGATTTGCAAGACACTTGCTCACTATCTCTGAATTTTCAAATGATATTAAATTCTTAATTCTTCCTTAAAAATTAAACACAGCAACCAGGAGAGCAAACAAAAAAGGATAGGTGGGAATTTTGAAATAAATATTCAGCTCAGAATTCTGAACTCAGTGTAAAATATTACTTCACAGGTTTACTATTGTGAATTTTAGGTAAATGAATGATGATAAAGTAGCAATTGAAAATAGAAAATAATTGGTATTTAAGAACTACAGAATTTTTACTCCAGTCTAGCATGCAAAGCTTTAGAATCCATTTTGAAGGAAGTAACTATCAAGTATGTTGGAATAAGTGGAAAATGGAATAATGTGCAAAAAGATCTACCAAGGTTAGAGTTATCTTTCATTGATTAAAACTCTTGACAAGGAAAGTTATTATGGATGTTAGAAGACTCCCATCAGTTGCCTGGATTAAATAGAGATTAGGTAAGAAATGTGAGATACCTAGGGTGTATATTCCAAAGCTGAACTTCAGCCTCGTATTTCAGACCTGAATTTTTGTCTGAGTTTTCCAAGAGCACAATGTGTTTCCCTCTGGGGTGTCACACCAGAGTGGTGCTGGGATTTCAGTCTGCTTGAAAGAACACAGAGCTACCCCCTGGATTCTTGTATCCATCAGCCCAACTGTGTTATAAAGCCCTTTCTGTAAGTGAACCAAATTTATTAGCTTAGCATTTTTTTAAGAGGCTGTTCCAGTATCTCATTGCTGTAATGGAAAAAGCATTCTTCTGCTTTTTAGCTTAAACTTGTTCAGTTTCCTTGTAGATGGTGTTCCACAATATCCCATTGTTTAACTGATTCCTCTTCCTTGTCCACATGTTTAGACAGCTGTGCTCTTCTGCCTCTTCTAAGCAAAAAAAAAATATTTCTGTGTCTTTGCAGATAGATGTGGGTTCTCCCTGTTTGTGGCCTGTGTTCACAGAAAGACAGGTCAGTTCTGAGTCAGAAGCTGTGTACCTGCACTTTTGGGCTGCCTACTACTGCAGCTAAGAAGCCAAACCTGCTTTAGCAGGAAGTGGTATTGTGCTGATGTGACTGTACAGCTTTTGGATCACGGCTGACCTTGATCACATCCTTCATCTGTCTGCAGAAGGCAGGTGAACATGTTCAGTTTTCAGGGTGAATTCTGTTCAGGGCTGTCGGATCAGACATGCTTCTCATGGCAGTGTCGCAGAGATCCTTATTTCCCTCAGCTCTTCAGGTGTAACGCATGCTGCCTGATTCAAGGATTTTAAAAAAACACTAAAAGCAAGATATTTGTATTCCCTTGATGGGAATGTCACTATTAAAAGGTCTGTAAAATGCTATCTTTTCTAGCAGAAAGCAGAGCACATATTAAGTGCAACAATCAAAGCACCTAAACAGGGTGGTAGACTCCTGCATATCAACTGCAGTGCAAAGAGTTTTAAATAGTCCTTATTCTGTGCTCTCTAAGTTACATGCCAGTTTTAATTCTTTATTTTACACAATTTTTTTTCTTCTCTCACCTCAGAAGTGGTGACACTAAAATAAAAATACAGGCATATTGTGTCATTAGAAGGCAGATACTCTGAAAAAATCTTATCTCCTGAGATTTCAGTATGCCCTCAGGCATTACACTGGGTAACTGGAAATCATTTTGCAAAGGTAAATTAAATTGATTTAGCAGCTTTGCATGTGAATGTCTTAAGGCCGAGTGATGTGAAATATTGAAACAGATTTGTCAATAAAGAACAAGTTCCTTTGGATTCTGCTGTAAGTCTGGGTGTGAAAGTGGCTCCAGGGATGTAATTTGGTATGCTGATACAGAAAACTCTGATTATAACTAACTAGCACAGTATAGCAGTGAACCACTGCTTGAAGATAATCTCATAGGTTTAACACTGTGCTTTCATGCCTTCATTTTGATGATCTCAAAAGTGACATCTCCCTGGGTTTAAACCACGACACTGGCACAATGCATTTCTACATTGCACCAAATGCTGCGTCCGCCTTTACAATTGTGATTTCAGACTGATGTGGCAACTTCCATGGGTCCTGGCTGCTGTGCTGTGTGCAGTCAGCACCTGGCTACTGTTAAGGGAGCTGTTTGTAATTCATGTTACTTGGCTACCTGGAAACATTTAGATGAATACAGATCACGCTCTCCAGAATAACTGTTGCTTCACCTCTGTGCTTTGGAGAACATGGAAAAGTGCATTCTCCAAATATGAGAGACCTTTAGAACCAGTTTATATCCTTTTCCTGTTGGGGTAGCTCTGGAACAATCTTTTAAGGAGAAGAGGAAAGGAGTGTCATGGTCTTTACAAGGCTAATGATGGATATATCTATCGGTTTGCTTAAATTTCAATCTTTCAAAGGATTCTCCTTTGGAAAATCTGTAAGGAAGTGGCTGAGCACTGTATTAAGCAGCTGTTAAAGTTTACTGTAGATGAGGCATCCTTTCCAACTTGATCTTCAATAACACATCATTGCAAATATTAGTACTGGTAGCACACATGTGAATTGCTGAGTCCAGACTGTGAAGTTCATTCATAGACTTCAGAATCAATCCAGTGATGAAAGAAGTGTGAATCCTTATGAAGTATTTTAAATTTGTATTTATCTCTTGGGCTTTGGTTCAGGTTTGTCTAATACTAACAATGACAGATATTTTTTTCTTAACAATAGCAAGTGTTTCACAGTGTAGTCTATATTGTCTAAAGCCGCCTGAAGTGGGTGTTCTTAACTGTACGTTTTTAAAGCACATTTCTGCTTCTGAAGACATTTGTTCGTTATTTAATACCTTATGTGATCTACAACTTGAGACAACGGTATGAGACAACTGGAATGAGAAAATTACAAAATTGTGTGTTCTGTTATTGGTTTTGCTATTGGTCTTACATGTCATAGCAGAAGCTTATTAGTAGCTGGGTCAAAGTCATCTTGCCTTTGTGAAAATGCACACTTAGAGTGTATAATGGGGAGGTTGCACCTTTCAGAAAGATCAGATGTTGTCTATCATTAGGAGAGGTAGGAAGGAAGACCATCAATGTGTTTTGGCAAAGTAATTCTTATGGACCTGATAAAGGTATTCATATTCTGTTTCTATGTAGGCTGCACACTGTGTATGGGTAAGAACTTTTGTAGTGAGCCCTGTTTTTGTAATAAGCCCTACACAATGATGTAAGAGAGAGTGGCTTGCCACTGTAAGAAGTTACGTAGGTTACTGGGGGGCCTTCTTCTTCCTTTTCCTTCAGGTTTAATTTAGGAGTGTGAGTGATTATAATATAAAAAAAAATAAAGTATCACCCACCTGGGAACTAGTCATATTATCAATGTCCACTAATGACTACAGCAGTTCGTTAGAGTTAGACTGTAACTGAAAAGGAAAAGCAGAGCTGGAAATAAGCTATGGAGGCTTAACTGGCTAATTATGTTAGTAAGAGTTTATATTTTGGATAGGCACTTTTGATTAGTGTTCTGAACTACTTTTGCCCGAAGGTAAGCAAGGAAGGGAATACCTTGTAAAGATGTTTCAGTTTTCAGCTGCCTGCCAGGTTCATGAGCCAGCTTATCTTTTCCGGTTGTTAACTTGTAAAATGAAGAGAACTTGGATGGTTTTCATGTGCTAGAAGAAAGCTCTAGAAGGAGGAGGAAAAAAACATTGTTTTGAGTTAACTCTGTGTAAGGCTTGCCTGTAACTGAAGACAGGAAAAGACCGTTTCAACTGTGAAGCAAAACGATGACAAAGACCTGATTATTGAAACTTTTGCATGTGCCTCTGCTGTTGTCTGCTATATGTCCCTACTTCCCTTCTGCCCCGATCTTTGTTTTACTTCATTTCCCCATAAAGGATATGAAAAAAAAAAGAATTCATATCTCTTGGGTCATGTATAAATTGGTGCGGTTACCCTAGCTTGTAACTTCATTCCCGAGCTAATGAGCTAAGCTGTTTGGACTGAGATCTCTGTGCATGTCTCTTGTTGAATGCCGTAGGTCTGCCCTCAGACGTAGTGCATGCACGACAATCAGATTGTTATGGGTGGAGATAAATCACGCTCTGGTCGATTGTCACCTAAAGACTTTTATGGAATACACAGAAATATTTAAGGGATGTTCTTTCAAAGCTTACTACTTTTCATTAGACTTGGACAAAAATTGCTGGCCTCCGTCTTTTGAAGGTTCTGTTGTGGAAAATTAATAAATGGGCATTTATGAGGGTCCCTTAATCACTGGTGACAATAATTAGAAAGGTGGAGAGTATGGAGAAAAGTTATTAAGGAATTAGTCTTTAAAAGCTGCTTGCTAATGAGAAGCATCCTACTCATTGTAATAGAGGAACATCAGAACATGTGTCGTGGTTTAAACCCAGTCAGGTAGCTTGTTCACTCACTCCCAGTGAGTGGTGCCGAGCTGACAACAATCGAGGTCCGTGTCCGTCTCCCCCCCTGCCTCCCCGCACCGGGGCTCTCCCCTTCCCCGCTCCCGGAGGAACGGGGAGGAGGATCGAGAGAGTGCAACTCCTACGGGTTGAGACAAAAACAGTCCAGCAACAAATCACCACCGCTACTATCAGCTACAACAATGATAAGGGAAAATAACAAGGGAAGAGAATACGATACCACCGGCCAAGAGAAACGAGCTCCACCCGGAAACCCCTGTCCTTCTGGGTCACTCCCAGTTACCCCTCACCCCGGGCATGACGTGCTGTGGT